CACCGGGCCGGAGGCGCCTCTCGCCCGCCCCCCGCGCGGACCCGGCCCCGCTGGGCATCCTCATGGGCGCGAAGGGTGCGCGGCTGCGGTGAAAGCCCTTCTCCCGGGAGGGGGGGACGGGGAGGCCGAGGGCTCCGGTAATCCGCAGCCTCCCGGGGCCGGGGGCTTCCTGCGCTGCAGCCAGCGCCCGCGGAGGGAGGTCCTGCCTCGGTCCTCGGAGGTGGGTGGCAGCGGTGTGACCACCGGAGACGGACTGGGCACTGCCGTGGCTTGCGGGCGTTCCTGTTTGGGCGGATGTCACGGCTTTCTCCTTACATTTGAATTTCCCTTTGATATTCCCTCTTGTCACATTTTCCAGATAATGTGTCTTTTTAATGCTTTCACTTACAGCAGTTCCAGAAAGGTCTGGTCAGTATTGAGTGTGTTAGTTGGGAGGTGCTTTATGTGCATATAATAAGTTATTTTGGTGTTTTCTAATAGCTGATGGGTTATTGACAGGTACCACATTAGTACCAAAATTTTAACTGTGAGCATGAATTTCCTCTTGGACCCGACAGTGCTGCTGGAGGAAACTCCTGCACTGAACAGCTCATCACTGTCACCTTCCAGTTTATTGGCCAATTAGTGGAGCAATTTGCTGCTTGAGAGAGTCCAGCGCAGAGCCACGAAGATGATTAAGGGAGTGGAGCATCTCCCGTATGAGGAAAGGCTGAGGGAGCTGGGTCTCTTTAGCTTGGAGAAGAGGAGACTGAGGGGAGACCTCATTAATGTTTACAGATATTTTAAGGGCAAATGTCATGAGGATGGAGCCAGGCTCTTCTCAGTGATGCCCAATGGTAGGACAAGGAGCAATGGGTGTGAGCTGGAACACAGGAGGTTCCGATTAAACTTGAGAAAAAAATACTTTACAGTGAGGGTGACAGAGCACTGGAACAGGCTGCCCAGGGAGGTTGTGGAGTCTCCTTCTCTGAAGACATTCAAGACTCGCCTGGACGCCTTCCTGTGTAATTTTGTTTAGGTTCCTGCTCTGGCAGAGGGATTGGACTAGATGATCTTTGAGGTCCCTTCCAATCCCTGACATTCTGTGATTCTGTGATTTGTAAGAACAATTCTCAAATCACTTCAGTAAAATTGGGCATGAAATCAGTGGTCTGGATTAAGATGGCTTTGCTTACTAAGTTTGGAGGTGTGTTTTTCTGGTCTTCTGCTACAAGTTACAGTTTCTCCTTTGCTCTTTCAGTTATCTACTGTACAGAGTGCTTGAATATGCCCTGTCCTTTTTATGGCAGCCTTAGACCATGGATAAAAACAATTTGATCTTCCTTGGTTGTGTCAGTATTGAAGTAAATGAAGGAATGCTCAGACGTGTTCTGCCCTGTCAGCTGGGCATGGCCTGCCTTCCTCCTTTCCATCCCTGTACCCCAGGGTGGGAATGAACAAGGGGTAGTTGCCAGTTTAGCTGTTTCAGCCAGATACAAAAGATGTCTTATCAGTACTCTTTAACTGTTATCAGGTGCTCTGAAAGAATTCTAATTTAGTGTGGAGTTTGTGTTTTGTCTTTGTTTGGGTTTTTTTGTTGGTTTTTTGTGGGTTTTTTTGTTTGTTTGTTGGTTTGGGTTTTTTTTCGTTTTTATTTGGTTTGGGGTTTTTTTTGTGTGTGTTTTTGTTGGTTTTTTGGGGGGAGGGTTAGGGGACTCTAAAGTCTAGGGCTTGTACATCAGTAGTTTAGGAGTCCTTGAGCACTTTGTTTCATTTGCTTGGCCTAATGGCACATATGGAAGGGACCTAGTTCTGTTAAAATAATCCTCGCTTTTTTTGTTACAGAATTTCAGAGGTGCTGCTTCTCTGTTGAAGGATAGTATCCCAGTTACTGAGTTTTCAGCTTCAGGACCATTTGAAGGTCATGATCTTCTACGTAGAGGGTACACTTTACTCTTTCTTGTTGAATTGTGCCGTAGCCAATGTTGAACTTCAGGTGTAGGAAGAAAGTATGTGTTAAATCTTGGCTTTTTAAAGAAGGTTCTTGGAAGGTGTATTGCAAAAGCTGTGGCCTAAAGTGGACGTATTTAATCAGATTGTTTTTCAAGCATGAATTTTCTGTGAAACATCACTTCAAGAAGTAGATAACATTAATGCACTTCTACCTGTGTGATACTGCTCTTTAGAAAAGAGGTGGCAAAATATTAACTATGAAATACGTGCTAGTTCTAATGTACATGTGTAGGAGTGTGCCATAGCACCGTGGGAAATCATTAATTTCAGCATTGGTAGGAAAAGTAACGTTAATATCGTAAAAATAGAGGGTTTAGGTTTTGCCATTTTACACGAGTGCAAAACTATGTACGTGTCTTAGATAATGACTCTAAAATAAGTTAATGGCATTTAAAAATGCAAGTAATACAACTATGAGTGGCAGGAAGGTATGTACAACATTCAGTTGCAAAAGCTTGGAGACTTCGAAAATCAGATACCACGTAGCTTGGACATGATTAAATCTATGATGTTGTCATTTATTAATCTTTTTCTCTATTTCTGAAGGGGGTCAAGGAAGAAATGTCTTTCTGTTTTGTCAAACAGAAAGAAAAAAGGATGCCTGAAATTTAAATTCTTCTGGTAGTGCTGTAGTTAGAGGTCTTATTTGCTGCTTCACTATTAAGCTTTGCAGGTTTTGGGGGGTTTTTTTGTAGCTCAGACTGTGCTTATTGTGTGCCTCTGTGGGCTGATGCTTGTATCTGGGATTAGTTTTGGAATGCACTTTAAAAAATTATATCCTGGTTAATTTGAAGCTCAATTTTTTTACTTGTATTTCTAGTTTTAAAAGTGTGAAAAATGAACTGTTGCCCAGCCACCCACTGGAGTTGTCAGAAAAAAATGTAAGTATAACATCAAATGTAGCCCTCTTCACTCTTAACTAATTATGAAACTTACAGTAATGACATGGTTACCTGGACTGCTTTGTGCTGTAACAAGTAATGAGCAGGGTTTTGCCTTTAGTAGACTAAAGATGTTCAACAACAGTAACGTTGTATTTATACAGATGTTATTTGTACAGTAACAAGTAATGAGCAGGGCCTTGCCTTTAACAGAAAGAGATATTAAAAAATAGTAACATTTTATTTATACAAATAACGTTGTTGGCAAATTTTTTTAATGTTAACCTCTCACTTGTGATTCCACTTCAAGGATATAAGTGGGTTTTGAAGTGGGGGTTTACTTAGTAAGACTTAGTCATCTAAAAGCTACTACGCTGGTTGTGTGTGCAGCCTCTCTAGTTAGGTGGGGGGCACCTGTCATTCCTGGAAGGCCGACCCTCCCATTGTCTCTGTAAGTTTACCATGTATCTTCATTTTCAGACTTTCAGTCTGTGAACACATATATTTTTCATTAAATTACTTGATCCCATCTGGAAATTTTACACATGTAGTTTGTTGTAAGTGTATGCAGTCTTGTTTAGCTGTGTCATCACTCGTGGACCACTTAAAGAGTGGTCTGTGGACCCTAGATTGAAGGTAAAGGGAGATTAGACTGACAGCCTTGGCTAAATAGCTGGTTGAACGGAATCTCATCTCTGGTGCCTGTTTTGTCAGCACAGAAGGTTTGATGTAATAAACTGTCATAGGCACTATTTGGACAGAATGTTTCAAATTGCTAAGCTAATCAGTATGGTGTAATGTCTAATACATTCTAATTCTAACCAGTGCTAGGGTTTTCTTGAGCTACTGTTGTCTTGAGTTAAAAGGTTTATGTTAATGTGACATGATCATCACAAGCTTATTTATAAATCCTATAAATGTTTCAGAGCTATTTGTCAATTACTTTTTTTTTCCCTACAACTGACTACTATAACTTGGTTTTTAACTCTGTTCTTGCTGTATAAAACCTGCATAATTAAAAAACTACATGCTGGAGACAAAAAAAAATTGCACAGAAATAATTAAAACGGACAATGTGATCCCCTAAGAAGTAGCGACAGTTTTCTTTCACACATTATTTGGTTAGTTTTTCTGTAAGTTTATGGCTGATTGATCTAAGAATTATTTTAATATACATTTGAATGGGAAAATACCTTAGCTTGAGATGGTTATGGTTATTTTTACTGGTAGGTAAAATGGTAGGTTATTCAGGTAGCACTAGTAGAAACCAAATCTTTCTGCTACACAGATAAAGACCCTTACCTTTATAAAATAAAAGAAATGGAAAAATAATGTGACCAGAATCGTAAGTTTGGGATGAGGCACATAAATAGTATTTTCTGCTAACCTCTGTAGAGCATTAAATATAGGTTGTTAATGAAGAAAATGCATGTTATGCCTTTGGTATTTTCCTGTTGGCTTTTGAGATTTCTTCACATAAATGAGATGATATTCTCATACTAGTAGGCTTTTGTCATGATAATCGAGTACAGGTTTTAAAATTAGAGTTTTCTAAATTTTTTGTTTTACTTTACAATATTGTATTATGTCAGTGTTACAGGCATGTAGTCACTACTATAAAAGCCAAATTTGAGACTGGATTACTCATTCATTAAGCATGAGTTACTTCTACATACTTCACTATTTGTGAGACAGCACTTTTTCATTAAAAAACCCTCCACTAAGTACAGTTTCTGTCTTACTGATCATACTTAGAGCAGCTGATAAAATTATGAGCTTTCTTTTGCTTTTCAGAATCATATGGGGTATATGTGGTACCCTGTCTTAACACTTGATCAGAAAAAACCTATTTCAGTTGTTTTCAAGTAGAGTCTTTGATGGCTAACAATAACATCAGTTGTGGCTTTCAAGTTTGTGTTCTTACTTTAAACCAGACAGCTTCCAATTCACATTGACAATACTGCAGTAAAGTAGTGCAAAACTACACCACTTGGTGGTGTTAAATGTCCTGATTGTCCAAAATAACAAAATTGCTACTATAGATTTATAATAAAATCCAGAAAAAAGCAATTTCAGTTTCATAAAACAAATATTACTGCATCACTGTCTTTCATGTACATTTGAGACACGTATGACGGAATCACAGAATTTTAACGTATGAATTTAATAAGCATGTTCATTTAAGTGGGATGTCACAAATTTCTCCTATGGCTGTACTTGAAACTAACTTTTTCTAAAACAAAAATCAATGTTGTTTGTGATAGTTCCAGTTAAATCAAGATAAAACAAACTTTGACACACTGAGAAATATTCAAGGACTCCACGCACCTTTAAAGCTGCAGATGGAATTCAGAGCAGTGAAGCAGGTAGGCACTTTTATCCAACTGGTATAACTTAAACCACTTGAAAAAAATTTTCTCTTGGAACGTGCTTTCGGACAGACATCTTTGTTGAAATGCCTTATGTTTCCAAAATAAATTCTTTCACTGATCTGCTTTTATTAAAACAAACCCAACCACATTGTTATTAATAGTTTCCAGACTAGTCAATATGCTAAAGCCTATCAGCTGCTGTTCTTTTACTGGTTGCTTGGTGAAGTGGTAACTGTTGTAGTGTTTCTGTGGACTAGCTTCCTGTATGCCTTCAGAGAGAAGTAGGAGGAATTGAGTATTAATTCCTAAAGTTAATACTCTTCTCTATAGAACGTATGACCTTCATGGGACGGAATCTCTGCATCTGAAGCAGGTAGTGATTTGGGAGTAGATATAGAGGTAACATGAAACCTGAAGCAGAGAATTTGCTTTGTGCTTATTATTGTTCCACAACCTTTCTTGTAACATCAGAGAAGGTCTACAGGGAGTAAGTTCAAAGGTTTTAACTCTTAATTGGGAAGCTGAGTCTGTCTCCTTTTCCTTCTTATCTCCTAGGATGGAGAGTGGAGGGAGGCTGACTTTGTCCCTTAGGAAACATGGAAAGCTCATTGGTCCTAGTAAACTTTTTTTTTGGCTTGTTGAAGGTTGTCAAGCTATTAAGAATTGTTTTTTCCAAGTGAGTTGGAGCAATTTTATACTCCCAGTGGATCAGGTGCTACTGAACCACTGTGAGCTGCATTAAACTTGGCAGAAATTACTGGTCCTGAAGATGTGAAAGTCAGACAGGACGTATGAAAACATCCCTTGATCTCAGCTGTGCTCTCTCATGAGGAAAAATCTTTTTCCTAACTGATGTTGGTACATGGAAGAAAATGAGGCGGATGGGGATTCCCTGCTAGTGTGTCTCCACAGGCATTCTTGGGGGATCAGTGGGGGAAATATGGTGATAGAAGGTTTTTCACTCCCAGCTTCATGTTGATGTGTTTGTTGCAGTGAACCTCCGCAGCTTTATGTGATAACAGAGGGGGAAAAAACCAAACTAAAAACCCCTGAACTTTTTGTTAACTACACTATTTCACTGCAGTGAAAGCTACAAATAGGCTGTTCTTTTCAAAACAGAGAAACAGTAGAAGAGGATGGTGTTAGGTAGGTTTTGCTCTCTGTGTGTGCCAGTAGTTCTCTTATTTCATCGTTGTTTTTGAAGGAAGTGACTTTGCCTGTCACTTTTCTCAGTCACTTTATAAACCCCCCTCAGTTTCAGACTTGCAGACACTTGAACTCCTGTTATCTTTTTACAGGTCCAGCGTCTCCCGTTTCTTCACAGCTCAAACATGGCACTGGATACTTTGAGGGGAAACGATGAATGCATCGGTTTTGAGGATATCCTTAATGGTAAATACATTCTGTTCTGAATGTTATGGAAACATTTAAAAGTAAAATTTGGGAACTGAAGTTCTTTGCCTCTATGGAATAAGAGAGTTAAATGCACAAAATACAAAGAAAAAAATGGATTCCTAAAGGCAAAGAAGCACTGGGGGAAGGAAAAATAAATGTGCTTCAGCTGATAGTTGTGTGGAAATTCCTCCAGAGTAGGCTGGGTTTCTAAAGGAGTAGAAGATGATGCACTTACATTGTATTTTTCATAGAATCATAGAATGGTTTGGGTTGGAAGGGACCTTAAAGATCATCGAGTTCCAACCCCCCTGCCATCAGCAGGGACACCTTCCACTAGACCAGGTTGCTCAAAGCCTCATCCAGCCTTGCCTTGAACACTTCCAGGGAGGGGGCATCCACAGCTTCTCTGGGAAACCTGTTCCAGTGTTTCCCCAGAAACTTTTGAACTACTTGTGCAGATTTTAACAGGTGAAAGTTACAAAGATTTAAGTTCTATAATAAAAAAGAAAGACAGGCTAGAGTAGAGATACCAAACTAATGAACCAGAGATGTGGCAGGGGGAAGGCTCCCTTGAGTTAACTCAGTAGTTTGCAGTTGTGTGGTGGGCTAGTGACTGGTGGTTAGTGTGGAATAGAATAAACCTGGAAAAATAGTTTTAAAACATCATTTGTTTCTAGCTGGTAGTTAAAGACATGGAAGGAGACAGGGTATTTTGAAGTGGGACTGAAGAAGGGAAAGAACCAGGGAGATAGGAAACGGTAATGGAGAGGTAAGTGGGAATCTAGAGGCATGAAGCAAATCTGGAATTATTTTCTGGGATGGATCTCCAGGGAGCAAGGGAAGGAATCTTAGGTTATTTGTGTTCAGGGAGTAGAGCAATCTCAAACATAATTAATAGGAATTTGGTTATTTACCATTGCTCACAACAAGCTGTTATGCATTTATAGAGTGCTAAGGAGTGAGTGATGTGTGCTTTCTGTAAGATTCTATTTATCAACTGGGGCTGGATGAGATAATTTTGGTGTCTCTGGAGGGATCAAAAGCATTAATATGCCTTATTTACGGAAGGAAAACACTCCAATACACCCATAAAGAAAGGTGTGTTTCCAATACACCCATAAAGAAAGGTGTGCAGTCACCAGCTTTTTTTCTGACTTTGATTTTTTTTTTATTTTTATTTTTTGTATGGAAATTTAAGTTTATACTGTCAATATTGGTATTCCTGGTGTTGTCTGCAAGCTTACTGAGGCTACACTCAATTCCTCTCATCCAGATCATTGATAAAGATATTAAACAGAGCTGGCCCCAACACTGAGCCCTGGGGAGCACCACTTGTGAGTGATCACCAACTGGATTTAACTCCATTCACCACAACTCTTTGGGCCTGGGCATCCAGCCAGTTTTTACACACTGAGAAGTACAGCCATGCAGGCCATGAGCAGCCAGTTTCTTCAGGAGAATGCTGTGGAAAACTGTCAAAGGCTTTACTGAAGTCTGAGTAGACAACATCCACAGCCTTTCTCTCATCCACTGAGTCACCTTATCACAGAATCATAGAATGGTTTGGGTTGGAAGGGGACTTTCAATGTCATCTAGTGCAACCGCCAGCTGTGAGCAGGGGCATCGTCAACTAGATCAGATTGTTCAGAGCCCCGTCCAGCCTGACCTTTCCAGGGATGGGACTTCTACCACCTCTCTGGGCAACCTGTTGCAGGGTTCCACCACCCTCATTGTAAAAAATTTCTTCCTTAGATCTAGTCTAAATCTGCCCTCGTTGAGTTTAATACCATTACCCCTTGTCCTATCGCTACAGGCCCTGCTAAAAAGTTTGTCCTCATCTTTCTTATAGGCCCCCTTTAAGTATTGAAAGGCCACAATAAGGTCTCTCCAGAGCCTTCTCTTCTCCAGGCTGAACAACCCCAACTCTCTCAGCTTTTCTTCACAGGAGAGATGTTCCATCCTTCTCATTATTTTTGTGGCCCTACTCTGGACCCGCTCCAACAGGTCCGTGTCTTTCTTGTGCTGATGACTCCAGAACTGGATGCAGTACTGCAGGTGGGGTCTCACTAGAGCAAAGTAGAGGGGCAGAATCACCTCCCTTGACTATCTTTATGTGCAGCCCAGGATATGGTTGGCCTTTTGGGCTGTGAGTGTGCCTTGCTGGCTCATGTCCAGCTTTTCATCCACCATATCTTTATGTGCAGCCCAGGATATGGTTGGCCTTTTGGGCTGTGAGTGTGCCTTGCTGGCTCATGTCCAGCTTTTCATCCACCAGTACCCTTAAGTCCTTTTCCACAGGACTGCTCTCAATCCCTTCATCCCCCGGCCTGGGGATTGCCCACTGGGGCATTGCCCTGACCCAGGTGCAGGACCTTGCACTTGGCCTATATAGGTGGAGATTGGGTTAGTAAAGCAGGACCTGCCTTTCATAAACATGTGCTGACTGGGCCTGATCACCTGGTTGTCCTGTATGTGCCATATGATGGCACTTAAGATCATCTGCTCTATAATGTTGCCTGTCACCAAGGTCAGACTGACAGGCCTGTAGTTCCCAGATCCTCCTTCCAGCCCTTCTTGTAGATGGGTGTCACGTTTGCTAGCCTCCAGTCCACTGGGATATCCCAAGTTATCTAGGACTGCTGATAAACGATGGAAAGTGGCTTGGTGAGCACTTCCACCAGCTCCATCAGTGCCCTTGGGCAGATCCCATTGGGCCCCATAGACCTGTGTGTGTCTGAGTGGTGCAGCAGGTTGCCAACCATTTCCCCTTGGATTATGGGGGCTTCATTCTGCTTCCCTGTCCCTGTCTTCCAGCTCAGTGGGCTGGGTTCCCAGAGAACATCATCTTACTGTTAAAGACTGAGGCAAAGAAGGCATGAAGGACCTCAGCCTTTTCTTCATCCTTTGTCCCTGTTTCCCCCTGCATCCAGTAAAGGATGGGGATTCTCCTTGGCTCTCCTTTTGCTGCTGATGTATTTATAGAAACATTTATATAGAAGTATATTATATAGAAACAATCTAAATTGGAAACATGCAGGTTTGATGGCT